AAATGAATAAATGAATAAATGAATAAATGAATAAATGAATAAATGAATAAATGAATAAATGAATAAATGAATAAATGAATAAATGAACAAATGAATAAATGAACAAATGAATAAATGAATAATACATACATGCGGAAATGAAAATTATTTGTTGAAATATTTGGTTGTATTAGTTTTTCATTATCTAATAATTTCACTTTTTCAATTGTTAAAATGCTTTATAACCTATTTCTAAATCACTTTGTTGAAGAAAATTAAAACCTGTCTCAAAGGAAATTACGGCATCTTTCGTTGAAACTTTAGACATAGTGTTACTCTCAACAATTATTATATTATTAGCATCATTTTTTCTTTATTTGAAATCTCTTCAATTAAATTTCTTGAATTTTAATTTCATTATTAGATATTTCATTTTCCAAAGGGAGAATTGCAGTTTCCCTCCAATTATTATTATCGATTGGACATTTATATGTCACGTGAATCTGCTGAAAGACCCTCAAAAATCCGTGTAACAAATTTATTATTATTATTATTATTGTTATTATTAATAAAATCCGTTATGACAAACGTTTTAATTAATGAGGGGACAATACTTAAATCCGCTGTGAGGAGGTTTGACTGTAGTATATAAAAAAGTTAATAAATGGTGGTTAACCGGTTAACGGTGTCAACACCTAATAATAATAGAGTCAATAACACTAAAGCAAATATATGATCATTATGATGACAATTACAAGGATTTCAATAGGTAGTAAATCAATTTAGTTGTATTTCACTTTTACTCTCCATTAACCGATAATGTGGATGTTGTTTTGCTTTACCTATATTATGGATGGACCTTATTACATTAACATATTGGAGACTCGGCTGTTACCTGCTGCACAGAGATTGTACGATAGAAACTGGCGTTTACAACAGGATAATGATCCAAAGCACACATCGCGTTTCACCTACTGAAACAACGATTTACAATTAAGTGGGACGTTTTGTCATTTTCTACAATTTAAACCGATGCATGTCGATTCTTTCCATTATCACAAATTGCGTAATCTATATTTTAACCTATTTTAACCGGTTATTAACCGGCTCCTAGTTTGAGTCGTTTGCGCTAACCTTCCTTAGGATACTGTTTTAATTTTCATCTGACATCATCATAATAATAAGTATTCCTTTATATTCATAAATCGTCTGCAATAGTTATTTAATGAGCAGTAAAAATAAGCCACAATATACGTATTTTATATGCAATAAACTATTGACAAAATGGGAGATTAGCGTAGGATATACAGAATTTTTAATAATAAGAGACAATTTGTTTATACATAATATACGGATTTTTTTAAAGTGTAAAATTACCATTACTAAATCAAATTTGGAGATGACAAGATCATATTAATAATATAAATAATCATAATAGAAAATTTAGTTAGTAAAATATTTTTTATAGTAAAAGATAGGTTTAAAAATCTCAGTAGTTAAGGATAGTAAACTTGTTAATAATAATAATAATAATAATGAAAGATTTGAAAGAGTCAATTATTATTATTATGTGGTAAATTTGCTTGAGCGGTGATTTTACCCAATTATGCAGAATGATAAAATCATGCATGCAAAAATCATCCCACAACAAAAATCTTTTAAAAAGATAGCAGTATTAGTATAGTAATATCGGAATCAATTGTATACACGAATGGTAATTACCTAATTACCATAAATACGTAATTCGTAACTATTGTAATTAATCATCATTTTCTCTCTTTAAAAACGTAATTACGAAATTAATTACGGTTGACAAAACTAATTACGGGTGACGAAACTAATTATGGGTGACGAAATTAATTACAACGAATTAATTATTGGAAATATCACAAATACTATTTGAAGTCAAAGAAACTAAAAATTTTCTATACGACCCGTCGTTAACAATACACTGGTTAACCAACATCAAAACCTTTGCTTTATACCAAAGCGAATAAAAAATTTAAGAGTTCTATATAACTTTGATAAATGGACAATTAAACTCTACTGTTTAATTTCCGACTATAAAGTATTTTTATAAGTGAAACAAAGAATTTATTTATTTATTATTATGTGTGAAGTTATCTTTACAAGTGAATTAAATTAAAAATATTCCTTAGCAAGGCTCTGAAATATTTTTTTCAGAGAATAAATGAATTGTACCTTTTAATTGCATCACTATTTCATGTGGTAAAAATATTTTGATTATTTGGAGACTATTTGATACAATTAATTGAGTCAGACGCAATTAAAATTGGGATTATGGGAATCGAGCCAAAGCCAAACCAATTTTTGACATGTAAATCATGCAGATCTTTCATTAAACAATGATTTTTTATTTTTCCAAAACTATTTATTATGTGTATTTTTAACTGCTTTACAAACCTACAAAAAAATAGTCAATAGTTACAAATTATAATCATAAAGTTACCAGACATCCCAATTCCAAATTGCAAGTTTTTTGTCACACCATTTGATGATCTTGCCCGTGATATATATATCATTTATTATTGGCCAATCAAATGTTGTCAAACTTATACAGTATAATAGAAACGATTATTGAAACCAACTTGCAACTTCACAAACATAAAAACGTAAATTGATACAAGATGATCTGTTTGTTGAAACAACATCCCCTGAACGACATTTTGTATCCTTTATTGGAATTTTAGATTTCACACTCGCTGCTTAACCCAACCTTAACTTTTGAAGAAATGTGGACGAAAGTTTGAAAATGAGTATAGTAAGTCATTATAGTCGCATACTTTTTTATAGTAACGTATACCCTGTGAGCTTTTTAATTCATTGATCTTCCAAACTGGATAAAAGTTGAATGGAGAAGGATTCTTAAAGTGCTAAATTAGCACAATTATTCAGAGACTTTGTAAAAATGGATTGTTAAGAATACACAAAATTGAAAAGATGTACCTAGTGGATTAGTAAGCCATTTTATTTATGTGAGCTACCTGGCTACTGAGTTATCGAGCTATCTGGTTTTTTTTTTCCACAAGATATTCAAAGATTATATGATGTTGATGAATTGTTTATTAACATGGCGACAAAATTTGTCGGATTGAATCTGATGATGAATGGTTAACTATAGAAATAATTAATTTATTGAAAGTATGTTATTAAATGTCTTGAATGGGATGAAGACAGAAAATTATTAGATTCTTTTTTATAATGGTAAAGAGATTTAAAAAAATCGGATTGTATTGTGAAAAGTTTTTTTAAGTCTACTGATTAGTCTACTACCTGGAGAATTTTGACACTGGTATTTTTGAGCTCGATTGGTATATAAGTGATAATACTTTGCATTAACTGTGATGTTGATCGTGAGTAATGGCAGGATTGTGAAAGAGGATCACTAGTTGAAAGTGGTACACTGTGGAGAATATACACTGCACAATTCCGAAACGACGACAACTATTGAGTGAGCTATATGTAGGTTTAACAAAAGTTGAGATTATTTTTATGATTTTGCTAAATTCTCACATTTAAAGCTTTTAGTATTAGTAATCAGGTGTGTGTAAGAGAAGATTATTTAGTATATTTAAATGTAATTCAATATTTACCAAAATAAAATTACCTTAAGCTTGACTTGAAATATTATTAAGACTTTATTTATATTATTATTACGAGCGGCGAAGATAACATTCAAATCGAAAATATTTAAGATATCAGATATTTAGAATCAAAGGTTTATACGTACTTCTGTTCATTAGTTCTGTGGTAGTACTAGTACAAATACAGGAATGAATGATTGCATCGGTATAATGATCCAAGTTTACGAATGAAATATACTACAAGAAACGTGGGCTCTATTCTGCCAATTTTTTATTTTTCAGCAAAATGTTATTAATTTAGCAAAATATTTTTAAAAGATTATTTATTTATTAAATTTGATAAATCTTATAAATGATTAGCAAATAAAAACATTAAAATTAATTTCTTCTGTTAGCTCGATTTTTTGAATAACGAAGAATTCTTAAATCTTGACTAGTTTTTATATTTAGTAAATTGTATTTAAAATCTTTTATCATCCGAGTAGCTTTATTCACAAGAGTCTTCTTAATGTCTTTTGCAGATAATATATGAACTTTTCTAAGGTTTTCTCCGCGTAAATCCATTATTACTTTGAGATGGTCATTGCCAAAACAACTTGATCCTGTTATTATTAGTTTTTTAAGCGGAGGTGTTGAATTGTTCAAGAATTTTTCAAATGACTTATGATTAAAAGAGAATGCTCCTTCCAATTCCAGCTTTTTCAATTTAGTTAACACGATCTGATTCATGATTTTGTCAACATCATGAACAGTTTCTTTATGTAAGCTAATGGACCAATGTTTATCTTTGATTATTATTTTTTCAAGATTTGAACAAGTTGATAAAATTTGTGACAATGCTGTGACACTAATGTAACTATTCAATTCAAGTTTACTGATATTAGGACAATTTGTTGAAATAAAATTCGAAAAAGTCAGAATATCAGGATTGGAAATATGTTGATTCAATTTTATTTCTTTGAGAGTTGAATTATTATGATCATAAATATGATCGCTATTTTTGTCTTCAAATTCTTGTAAATCTGAAATAGTTCTGACAAAATGAAATGGATAGTTATAAAGAAACTCGAATTTTATTAAATGTGGTATTTTCCATTCCAACGGCCAACAATTTTGATCGAATCTTTTAAGATCACAACGTTTGATAATTAAATCTTGGAGATTCTTCAAATTTAATATAAAATTAAGAAACTCCAAATTCTTAAATATAATGTCTTTCAGAACTATTTTTGTTAAATTTTCTGATTGAAATTTAAGACCCGTGACTATACTTGGAAGCATGTCCATTGAATAATTTGAAAAATGAAATTCTTGTAATGATTTTTGCGACTTTATTAAATCTATCAATATTTCATCGTTTTTAGTGTTTTTAGTGAAGAACATTAAAAATGAATCCTCATACCAATCAAACTTAATTGCCTTAAGATTGCGTGCAACATTGCAAAGTTTTCTTAAAAAGTTTTCTCCATTAGTAGTTCTAGCAGACCATTCAAAATTAGTCAACCGTGAGAAACATTCAAGGTCACCTTCAGGATATATAAAATATAAATTATTACGAATATTCCAAAATAATTTTGTGTTAAGGCTTGGTTCATATATCGAGAAACATTCTAAATTAGGAATCTGTAAAATTAATGATCTCTCAATGGTTTCAATAATCTGAACTAAAATAGAATTATCCTTATCACTTAAAAATTTTTCAGCAAACTTTCTAGTATTTCTTCTTTGCAATATTTCAATGACAAGTTCTGTGTCAAATTCTTCTGGATTGGCTCTTAGAAACCTTGCCCATTGCATAAGCACAATCCTTAAATGATAGAAATTCAGTCTACGTATGAATGATATATAATCAAACTTGAGTATATATATCGCGTTCCTTATGTCTCCATTAGATCTTTTTTGGTTATATTGAATACATTGTAATAAAGTATTTGCCAGCTTCATAAAAACTCGTAAACCTTCAGGAGAATTACGAGATACACGACTTAACTTTCTGAATGATTTGATTCGTAAATAGAATGGTTGCTTCCACAAATACCTAACAGCTCTTTCACACCAAAGTCGATTTACTAGTATAGCATTATAAAGTGAATTGATATCATTCTCAAGATATGAAAAGATTTCAGATAGACAGTCAGCAGGAAGACAAGCCATTGTGAATTTTTTTTTTGAGAAATTGATAATTAATTAATAACAAAAAATTTTAGCTACTATGTGTAGCATATGTCAGATGATCTGTATAAAGGACCTCTTATTTATTGCTGATCTTGCTATATACAACAAGTGTTGTCAGATTTGTAAAAAGCAACAAACTACTATCTACGCGTTTTCGTTCTAAATTATACATTTATTGTTATTATTCAATTGGAAAATCGTGTAACCAAATATTTTTTAAAATAGTTTGTTATTTTCTTCTTTATTAAAGTAAAGTGAAACTACACCATTAAAGCTTGCCAACAAATATTTTTTTATGTTGAAAGCAACTTCTATATAAAGTTATTTTTATTCAAATATCACGTATATTTTCACTTAAAGCTTACATTCTTTTTTTGAGTATTGCTTAAAAAACCTTAATAAGTGGTTGTGGAGATATTGCAAACCTTTATATGGGTATGAGGGTTGTAAGCTTAATAAATAATATTAAAAAAAAAATAAATTCAATTATTAAGGTAGCAATATCTATTTAAGGAACTGATCACCATAAAAATTTATTATTGCTGTATTACCTAGGGATAAGTAAATAAATGGGGGGGGACAACTCGATGTTACACATATAGATCTTGTGAATCCAAAACTGTCACGCCTTAAAAATTAAAAATGATGTGCATTTCATAGTAAAAAATCAAACTTTACATATAAAATCTTATACACAAGTGTTTTTAAGCAGCCGATCCACCAAAGTTGAGTTCACAAGGCAATTACCTTTATGTTTTTTGAATTTTGTCAAATTTGTAGCAAAAATGACTTTTAGACACTATATTAAATAAATTAATATTAATGATATTTTACTTTCTGTAGTCACTTGCAATTAAAATTCTACAAGTGATAATGAAATTAAACAATTATAATAAACAGTAGTGAATAATGAATGGGTAAAGAGTAATATAAATAATATAAGTAATATATACATATGTTATTAAAAGTTAAAAATTTTTTTTATGTTAAAGATGGCAGAATCCTCAAAAAAAAATAAAAAAAAAAATAAATTATATATAAAGTATCTTACTGGACAACAAATAATAGGTGGCTCACTACTACAAACATACACTTCATGTGCATACTTTAACATTAAAGGTTGGTCATAATGTAAAATTAATTTTATACATGAAGAGGATATATATTTTAAATAAATAAATCAACAATCTTTTGACAAAAAAAATTTTTTATATTAATGGTATATATACAGTTCATTCTCCATACAAGCAACCCTCCATCTCTATATGTAATTTGTTTGTTATAGATAGAGAATGTTTACTAAGATGTTTGTCATAGAGAGTGTTTACTAAGATGTTTGTCATAGAGAATGTTTACTAAGATGTTCATCATAGAGAGTGTTTACTAAGATGTTCGTCATAGAGGATGTTTACTAAGATGTTTGTCATAGAGAGTGTTTACTAAGATGTTTGTCATAGAGAGTGTTTACTAAGATGTTCATCATAGAGTGTTTACTAAGATGTTCGTCATAGAGTGTGTTTACTAAAATGTTCGTCATAAAGAGAAATTATGAAAAAATGAATCGGGGACAAAAGTAAAGTTTATGAACTCTACCAACTCCAAAGCACAATACTAGGTTGTTCAAACATTATGAATCATTCAAGTCACACATCAAGGTATCTTGTTAAATATAGTATAATCGATTTATTTGTTCTATATACTTAAAAAAGTTAAAAGTGTTTTTTAAGATCTTCATACCTTTTTGTACAAAAAAAATTTTTTATCTTATATTATTAATGTTTTATAATGCTTAAAATTGTATGTATATATATTTAAACTTGCAAATAATAAGTGTAACATTCAAAATACA